GTTAAAGTTGCCAAGGTTGAGAAACGCTGCAGTAGTCTCACAGCCCCTTGAATTCTAACAATTTGACGGCTACAGTTCTTTCAGTGCAAAAATACTGTAAAAGCCTTTCATCTGATGAAAGCGGTATTACAATTTATTTACGTGACACGAAACTGTTAGGCTGTCCATCCGTTGCCCTTCTTTCCATTCCTTTTCAAGGGGCCTCTGTTCAACGATCGCTTCTAGCTGCGCAGGCGCACGCTGTAGACGTTTGAAGCCGGACTACGCCTTTGGCATTGTTTGGACAAAGCGGCTTTCCTTATCCCGCTGACGTCGACTCTTTGAGTCGCTGCGATTCCGGCTGGGTGATATGGCTGCTCAGAAGATCAACGAGGGCTTGGAGCACATCGCTAAAGCAGAGAAATAGTGAGCGGGGCGACAGGAAAGGGCGGGTGGGCGGCGGGAGGCAGAGGAGAGAAAGGCGATGCCCCACTGCGGCCAGACGGAGCGATGGGGGGCTCTTCCTCCTGTTCCTGGCCACGGTCATTGCCAGGGGGCTCCCAAAGAGGGTCGTGAGGCGGCTTGCCTGACAGAAAGTCTTGCTGGGCTGAAATTCACAGGCTGGGAAGGGGACGGGAGGGAGGTTAGTGGTATCATGAGACGCCTTTGTGGACCGAGTGGGTCCTCCTGCTAAAGATGCACGAAGGAGTGGAAGTTCATCTTCAGGCCCAGGCAATGAAGGCTGGTATTATGCATTTTGTCGCAAGGGCCCCTTCCCACTATAGAAAAGAAGCAAACGGCTTCTTGCTTGGCACCTCTGATCTTATGTATACAGTACAGTATTTATTTTACATTTATTAAGCAGACTGCTCAGTGGTTCCACTGTCTTTCTTGGGCTGCCATTTAAAGCTCTGTAGCTGATTGATTTTGATTATGTGCCTTCAAGTTGGTGTTGATTCCTAGGGACCACATAGATGGATTTTATCCATGATGGTCTGTCCCTAACCTGGTTCTTCAGGTATTCCAATAGTGCACTCATCGCCACTGAAACCGAGTCCATCCACCTTGCTGCTGGTCATCCTCTTCTTTTTCCTTCCACCTTTCCCAGCATCAGAGCATTCTCCAGAGAGCTTGGTCTTTGCATAATATGTCAAAAATATACTTTCTGTAGTTGAGTATTCTTTATTTCATATTAAGCTGCAACCTCCTCCTTCTTTTCTTCAAAGACACTTGCTGCCTGAAATAGTAATATTAGTGCTTCATCTGGCCCTGGCCTTCTGTGGCTGAGATCCTTTAAATTATGACAGATGGGTTGAAATGAGAAGCAGAGGCTGTGCCACAGCTGAACTCAGCTGTGATAAAATATGGTCTCCGAAGCACAGGCATATGATCAGACTTGACTATTTTTTTGGTAATTTGTGCATCAAAAAGGTGAACTATAGGATCTGATATTGGGACCAGGTTTCTGCCATAATAAACTGAAATTAGGCAATAGTTGAATGTAAAAAAAGCAACCAATGGTGTATGAAAGGTGACCCCTTCATCCCTTTCTTCATTGTAAACAGAGCTGTCAGTATTGTTAATTGCTTCACATTTTGATTTTCAGCTTGAAAACTGGATTATTAAAATGGAAACCAGACTATGACAGTGCAGCTACAGAATATTCAAAGGCAGGTATGTCTTGTAAAATAAGGGGGTTGTTTTTGTAATCTTAATTGTTTTTTAATTCCTTCTGCAGAATAATGGCTAATTAAGCTCTTGGAATAAGGCTTGATGTCCAAAATAACTTCACATTTCAAAAGCAAATCTGACACAGATTTAATAACTCCATGTATAGGCTTGTACCACATCCAAAATTTGGGTTTCTCTTAAAGTCTTCAATTGCTTGGATATAAATTACTGTAATTCCTAATCTCATTTTATGATTATACTATACTGATTATTGCTCTTGATAGTCATATATTACTTGGTTCTTAACAATGATTTTTTTCTTTTCCTTTTCAAAAAAACGCTTAATAAAAAAAAGGTAAAAATTAAATGTGTTTCATAGTCATTGTGGTATATGCAGTAACAATGATTTCCCCTAACCTGTTTTTATGAATGTAATTTATTTCTGAACCCTAATTCAAGCATTTATCATTATTATTCCACACATGGGCTGTTGATAAAAATAGTATGCTCTGGTTTAGTAACATTGCATTAATTTTAGAGAAGAACCTTATACAGTTGGGTTGCATTTATGAGGAATCCTTGTGTACCTTTGTAAGTAGTTGCAGTGTGCTGCCCTTTGACTTTACAAAGCTTTATCTACCTGTGTTATTATCTAGTAATTAAAGGTCTGAGTGTTGTTTAGTCTCCTGCTTACATCAAGTACATATCCCATTATATTTTGCATAACCCATTTCTTTTTTGTCTGGAATTAATTTGTGTTCAATAATACTTGCTATGTATAAGGATTATACTGAGAAGACCACATATACTTTTGATGTCCAAACCTACAGGAGATTTGTGAAAAAAGGATAGGAGAGAACCTGTAGACCAGGAGTCACTAGCCCTTTTGGAACAATGGGCACATTTGAAATTTTGAAAGCCTGTTAGGAACACTTGAAAAAAAATGGATTTTAGTGGTAGATCTAGCTATTAAAAATACTCATTCACCAAAAAACTCTGCGGGCCCTAGTTGACCATTATCTTTTTCAGAGCAAGTAGGCAAACTTTATTTAATTTTATTTATCCATTTACAACACTGGGCTATAGGAATCTGTAAATTTTATTTTCTGTGAATGTTTATGGGCTAAAAGAATATTCTTTTGAATAAATATAATGCTTAAAGTTAGGGCTTTGCTTTGAAGGATGCCCCACTTAAAAAAAAAAGATAAAAGTGTCTATAAATACATTCAGATGGGGCAGCAAGTAAGGCAAGCCCAGAGGGACATACAAGTGCCACATTGAGAGCCCCAAACTTTAGCTAAAGTGCAGGATAAAAACAGGTTTAAATCAATAAATTATGTCTTTTTAAAAATTGATAATGTTATTTCCAAAATACAATAATGCTTCTTTTTTATTATTTTTTGCAGCTGTTGCTTTTAAAAATGCCAAACAATTTGAACAAGCAAAAGAAGCATATTATAAAGAAGCTCTATCCCATGAAAATAATAAAGCGTATCTTTTAATTTTTTGTTGTTTCTACCTTAAGTGATTGGAAATCATGTTAGGATTATATTAATTTATGTCTATTCCAAACTTGTAATTGTATTTTGTCATGTCTAAGGGTGTTTTAACAGAAAAATAATAGAACAATATTCCCTGCATTAGGAAAATGTTACTGTACTCATGTAGAGCCCGTTATATCCAGATGCAATTTTTGTGACAATTTAATTATATAATTATATAACAAACTCTGCTTAGTTTTTTTTTTCTTTTTGATCCACAGGATATGCCTACTGATCAACCTTGTAATGTTTCCAGAACTCCCAGTTACCCATTAATGTATATTCATTGAGACTTTGATTTCTGTGGGCAAAATAGTTTTTAGTAACAGGCCAACATTAGAATAGCAAATGTGCTTCTTTTATATCAAGTTTATGAGGAAGATTTCAGAGAATTCGTTCATTGCCCTCATTGCTTATCATGCAAGAGCTTTTTAAAACATGGGTATTCCTAGTAGGATTTCAGAGTCTTTTAAGAAGATCCTACATATTCCAGAAACTTATCTAGCAGTGATAAGAAAATTCCCCTTTCACCTGCAGTCTTTCTACTTCCAAATATGTTCGGAAAGTTGAGAAGTCCTCAAGATTAAATCTGAGGAATTTGGGATATTATGGAAGAAAGGGGAAAAAGAGAAAATGTGTTGCATAGTGTGAAATCCCCTTGCACAATTTTGGATATGACCCAAACTTTTTGAAATCTCTGAGGTTAGAAAATTATAGTTATAGTATTGAAAACTAAGGTCCTTAAGAAAATTTTATGTTGACTCTGAAGCAGGCATGGGGGATTTTCTGCTGTTTGGTTAATCATTTTTTTTCCTCTTCATTAGGCTTCTGTTTTAAAGAGAATGTTTAATTGATGCATGATTATGAACTTTTGAAACTCCAAAACAGTTGGAATTATCCAGAAAGATTATATATATAGTATGTGTGTATGTATAAGTATACGTGTGTATGTGTGTGTATGTATATATATCTCCTTGACTTGAAATAACATAAATCCAGTTTCTTCCATGCTGCAAAGTGAGTATGAATTATATTTGTCAAATTTCATAATATGTATATCCTTGACTTGAAATAAGATAAATCCAGTTTCTTCCATGCTGCAAATTATGTATGAATATTTCTCAAATTTCATAATATACGTGAAATACAGCTAATGTCGACAAGAGTTAATGGTCTGTTGGTTATATATTTGACTTCATGAAAGTATAAACAAATATTGTTAGGAAGTTATTTTGAGCATTTTGGAATTGAAAAATGTATAGCTATAATGTTCAAACACGTTCTATAGATCCCCCTACTTTTGTAGGAAAAAAAATGGTGTTCTTCAAGTGTGCTGATATTCCCCTATTTTTTGCTATTGACTACATTAGGAATGGCACTTAGGCACTTAGAAAATGAGCCTACTCTTGATATATATTACAGTTTCTCCTTGAATGAGAAACGAATTGTTGTAGCCAGACCCAGCTGAACACATAGACAAAAGGCTGGAGGTCTCAGATCTCCTTTCCCAGAAGCCCTTTGGGTTTACAGACCCTGCCCCTGCCTCTTGCTTTAGTGTAGCTGCTGGTCTTTAGTGTTGCCACCAACTGTCTTCCAGGGGCACCTCACCTGGGATCTTCCCCCATCCCCCATGAATGTGTATCTTTCATTCCCAATGAGAGAATTGCAACCCATGCTGTCTTACTGGCAACTGAATATGAAAAAATAAATAATTTCTGTCATGAAACTTCCTGGCTACCTAGCATAGTGTTGGATGGCTTTGCTTGAGAGATATAAATAAATGAAATCAAACTTTATTTTAAAAAGGGAAAAGATAAACTATATGAACATCTTTGTATTTGGTGAGAATTTTACAAAAATGCATGTAATGTCCCAGGCAGACCCCATAATTATAGTGATGTGCTTCAGACAGCATTAAGTCCTTTGGAAAAAGGGAGGTGCATGAATTGATTAATTCAGACTAACCCCCCAAAATTCTTAATAAATTATTATCTTCATGCCCAGCCTGAAGTATGAACAAAAGCTGTCATTAAGCATCCAGCTTCTTACAGTTTTCCAGAAAATTAGAATACTTAGCAACACACAGAACAAAGAAATCAAAGAATCCTAGTGCAATTCCTATCTAGTTCTGCAAAAAGAGAAGACCCTTTCTACTTCAATTTACCTGGTAATTCCTTTTCCCTGGAATGACCGCTTTAATCAGAAGCTGGAGGAGCATGATCCTAGCTCACTCCCTTTCCTTCCCCAGTAGAATCCCTTCTTCATTCCCTTCTCTAGATTTAAAACAACTGGTGTTTTTCTCCAACAGTGTCAGGGTTGGGGGATCTGATTGTGCCTAAATGCTGCAGGATATCTCACTTCTACATGACAGAAGAGCTCTCTCCCTTGTGAAGATGTGCATTCAGAGTCTGCACCTGTTTGAGAATATGGAGCTTTGCAAACCTACGCATTCCTTATGGTTCTCAGATTGTATTAAAGAAATGTATTAAAATTGGGATTAAATGTTGTCTTAAATTTACAGTGGTATTTAGAAGCCTCCCAGCAGCCAATCTAGGCAAACCTTTGCTCTGAGATATTCTGTTCCTGAGCTAGCACCTTAAAATCTGTATCCTCCTCTCAGGCATACTGAACTTGTGTAAGGCCTAGCTTATTGGAGTGGAATGTAGCTGTTTAATCTAGGCTTTACTTAGCCTTCCCATTGTTCAGCTGGAGCCAATACTAAGCATGAATTGAAACTTAGAAGAGTTTATTGTTGTCTGTCAGATCGCTAGGTATAGATCTGAAGCCTTAAGTACCTTACATTACTGTGTTTCTTCTGCCTGTATAAAATTCACTGTATTATATAAAAGGACTATATTAAGCAGCACAAGGTAGTGAATCTGGCTATCTTGACACTGCTATTGACAAAATGTACAACACATTTTAAATGCTGTTACTTTTGCCTCTATATAATCTGTCTATTTCTTGTAATATATTACTCTACATGGTCAGGGTTAAAAGGAGTACATACAAATTGGGTTGAATAACTCTTTGTATATATAATATATGTTGTTTCTTTTGTCCTAGTTTCTTTTTTCTGTTTTTTAGAGGGTTTTTTCCTCTTTTTTGTATATTAAAGCAATTTTTTTCTAGAAGTGTGTAGTGCTTGTGATAGGGCTGTGCCAAATTATCTGTAACACTTGCTTTCAAGTGTGGAAATACTCCATTTAAATTAAATTCTGTTTGATGCCATTATTCTCAATAGTTCCCAGGTTATTTTTGGCACTACTTTCCTGGATATAGTTTTCATACTCATTCCTGAAGACCTAACTCAAGAGTGTATGTGTATTTATAGTTTTTTTCAGGTGATTAATAATATTAAAAACTATGATGAGCAGCTAGCCAATTACAGATTATATAGTAAATGTCAAAAATGTCATAGCAGTTTTGGTGGTACTGTGCAAACAAAGTCTATTAGCATTAAGGTAAAACTTCCTAAGTAGCCTTCTTTGGAGCTTTTACTCATGATAGACAAGAGAAGAGCAAATATACATAGGAGCTTCACATTAAAAGGGGAGCTCATTTCCCCTAGGCAGATATGAGTTTCTAGTCTATATCTTCAGGGAAGAAATTTGTGTAATTTTCCTCTTTAAAACAGGTTGTATGTGAAGCCACTGGGAGAGGTCATCTGACAGATTGGGGTGTGCTGGGGTGTGCTGATGATATCCAGCTGTACAACACCAAGCTGGAGGCTCTTGTATACCATCCTGAAATGGTCAGATGGGATGGTTTATAAATATTTTAAGATATATAAATTAAATAAATCAAGTTTTGTGCAACTTAATGTTCTGCTGCATGTTACAGTGTATAAAAAATGCTAAGATTCATGGCAGAGTTAATTGTTTTTGCTAGTAAAATGTCCTATATTAGTGTGAGATGTTCACTTAATTTGCTCAGTTATACTCTTAATTTCTTTTTTCAGGGCTTATGAACAAGCGGGTATGATGTTAAAGGTATGACAGTTTTTTTATGAAGGTGTTCAGTTAAAACTAAATATTAGAATGACCTGTGCAATATTCAGCTTGCAGTTGATAAACCTATTTGGGGATCCACGAATCATAGTTTTATGTACACTTACACACTTCTCTTTTGAATTGAATTCCATTTAAATTTGCACTTTCTTTATAGAATTGTTAACTGTCACAATTTTTCTGGGGTGCATCCTGTGTTGTCAGAGCAGATATTTGGGTCCTTCCTCCCTCCCTCCCCCCCTCCCCCCCTGCTGCTTTGAGATATGCTTCAGGTGTTTTCCAGTCCCCTAGAGTATATTTGAAAGAAGGGAGATCTGTTCAACCAGCAGTGTTCTTCATTGGAAAATGGATTGCTTGATTTCATCGTGTCTCATTTTTTCACATTAAACCAGATCCATATATCAGTAAAGACAAAAAGTTTTTGTTTAAACCATTGGCTTAAATCTAGTTTTCTTAGAAAAATAATTCATAACTTTAGCTTTGGCATGTGCTATATATAATATATACTTGAAAAAGTTATTCTTGTAAAATGATGGGAATTTTCCCAGAACAATTCTTTGTTAGGGCAAAAGAAACAACAGTTTTCCACTTTTCTAGCTCATTCACATATGCATCACTTGATATCCATGGTCTTTGGAAAGCCTTCACAGATCATAAGTAAGAATTTCTTAGCCTTTCAAAGTATTTTTCAACCAAATTGGAATATTGTATTTTTATTTTTTTATTTTTATTGTATATTATCTTTATAATGTCCCAATCAGTTGCCTCTGGGCAGTTAACAGTCCATTATAAAAGACACAATGCAATAAAACGTAACAACTTTGTCTTCAAGAGATCAATCAAATGGTGTAAAGGCATGTATAAAGCTGTTATTTACAGACAGTACATTTTGGGGATCTCTCCTGCAGTGATTTTTTAGTCCTTTGACTATTTCCATCTATCAGAAATTGCTCACTGGTACTCAGAGAGATTTAGCAAAACATGTGATGATTTAAAATGGATGATATTTTTAATTAGATTGAAAGGTTGATAGGATGACAAATCTGGCTCTTTTTCTTTCATCTTCAGGAGATGCAAAAACATCACGATGCAGTGGAACTGATTCAGAAAGCCAGCATGATGTACCTGGAGAATGGAACACCTGACACAGCGGCTATCGCACTCGATCGGGCTGGGAAGTAAGTCTGAAATCTCAAGCTGTTAGTTTCTTATCTGGAAAAGAAGATGGATTTCTCTAGTTCTTTGAATAACTGAGTAATGATGTTGAATCTTTTATTTTAGGGTAATAGAAAATATACATCCAGACAAAGCTATACAGCTATATCAGCAGACGGCTTCAGTATTTGAAGTAAGTCCTCTGAAACTATAAAAAGTAAACTACCTTTTAACTAGGAATGCAGAAAGTAATAGTTCCACTGTTGCTACTCCAAATTTAACTATTTGCCGAAAGGTGAATATTAAGAGATGAGGGTGTTTTCCGAGCATGTGTATGTTCCGGTTTTCTTGCCTGAGACTGCCATGACTTAGTGGACTACCTGATATAGTGGAAGCCATCTTTGTATGGCTTTTCCTGCTTCCATTTGAAAATGCTATTTGCTTTGTATAGGGTAGGTATGCTACAGGGATGAATGGCGAAACCTAAACTGTCTAGGTCAGTGGAGCCAAATCTGCCAATAAGCTATCTGCTTCTCCCTCATCGGCAGATTTCTCAATAGTTTTCTAAAAATGCAATATCTGTCTTAGTTACAATTTAACACTGCACTGTGTTCTAAGCACATTGCATTAAACTATCGCGTGCTGTAAACAAGCGAGCCTCAATTTCACATGGTTCCCCAGTGACATTTTTTGCACCTAGGAAGAGGTGAGAAGGATTTGCTTTGTCTTTTTTTATAACTGTCTAGCTTCATGAGTCCTCTACACTGACAAATGATGGTTGACTTTGATAAGGGTGTATCTGAGATTTGTTTAAAAGAAGACATTTGGAGAAATTGAAAAATAATTTAGCTATATAGGTCAGGGAAGTGTGGAACATATGTGGTGCCCCACATTAGCGTGATGTGGCCAGAGGTTGGTTGTCTAGTTCATAAAATTGTATTTTATTAACAACCTTTATTTGATTCAAGAGGTATACATTTGGGGAATGGCATATATTTCAATCTGAGATAGCTCCACTAATTCAGAAAACTTGCATTAAAAGCAACCAGTTCACTGCTTTTGCTTTTGCTTTTTTTTTCTTACTCAGAATGAAGAACGTTTACGGCAAGCAGTTGAAATGTATGGCAAGGCTTCGAGGCTTTTAGTCAGAGGCCGTAGGTGTGCATCATAATTAGTTTTTTGTTTTCAAAATAAGATATTCATAAAAGTGGTTCTAGCTTATTTGACCTGTTCATTGTAATAATACAGATATTCCTGTTACTCAAATATCAATTATTCCACTGTGCAGCATAATTCATGTTTCGATAATATTCTTTTTAAAAATAGTTCAACGAATGAATCTGGTTTTGAGGAGTAGACCCTTTGCTTTTGGTCCTTAATTGGGGCTACCATGACTACAAAAATAATTTTTATTCATTAAAACCTAATCCTTTTACACGCGTGTGTGTGTGTATACACACACACACACACACACACACACGTAAATATATAGCCACTCTTAATATATAAGTCATCCATGTGTACATATCTGAATAAATAAGGCCTGAATGTTCATTTCTGCAGAAGTTTGTATTGATAACTTCAGCTGCAGTTTTAATATGGGCTTGTGGTAGCTTCTCACAAGGAGCATATGCTTGTTTTTCCCCCTGAAATAGGACATTTATTTGGGAAATTGGGTAATCTTTGCCTTCTGATTCCTGCTGATTTAAATAATTGCTTTCTTGCTCATTTTTGTTTTGCAGACTAGATGAGGCTGCTTCCTCTCTTCAAAAGGAAAAGAGCATTTATAAAGATATTGAAAACTATCCAACGTGTTACAAAGTATAAAGCTACACATTTCTTGTGTTTTTGCAGGAAAGGGTGGATTGTGCATTATCTTTTGAAATATTTTAGCTCGGAGGTTCACTTCTAATTATACACCATTATTTGGATTCCTTTCTGTTGATTTGAAAAGAGTTGCACAGAGAGGCCATTATAAATCTAGATCTTCATGTATTTATTTATTTAGTGTAACTTTGATTGCTGGGATGAACTTTCTCCAACTGTGCTGAATAGGCTGTGGTGCCTTTCATAATATCATGTTTTTGGCATTCCTCAGTCATGATTAGGCTTGAGTTTTTTTGAGATATTTTAGTTACCTAGATCTTGTGGAAATTGTGTGTCTGAGCTTTTGAAATTAGCTGTACTCCTGTTGTAACAACTGAAAACAAAAAATGTATGCACATAATTTACTAATGCAAAGTGACCCTACAAATGTTTTGGTTACTATTAATATCAGTAAGGGCTTAGATCAGGCCTCATTTTTTCCAGTTCTTTGGAGATAGCCTGAGGATAAAAAACAACATTCTGTCTATTTTCATAATAGGCAGATTGCTCAATTTATGTCACTATGAAAACTACATGGGATCATTAATATCACATAGGTTTACAAATCCCCTTAAAAACATGCATTTTTAAAACACTTCTTTCTACTCTTGAGTCTTTCTTGTGTCCCCATAAAATTGGATTTCTCACTGTGATTACATGAAAAGTTAATGTTTACTAATTCTGCTTTTGGGGATTGTTTTGACCTCAGTTTTAATAATTTCAGTTGTGTGCCATATGAAAATAGTACTTTTATTTGCATTGAGTGAAAGATGTTCATTAAGTGCATAACATGTTGTAGTTTCATTCATAAACACTTTCCACAAACTGTTGTGATCAGTAGATGCAAAACTCCTGCTCTTTATTTGGCACAGTTTTATTGGGGAAGTGACAGAACAACCTAACAGTCGAATTACATCATATATTTACATTCTTCTATAATGACCACCGTCCTGGACTTATTCTTCTAAGGAGTTGATTATCCTTAAGCCTATAAAGCATCTCTGTCCATGCCAGTGCAATCTTTTTAAAGATATCCCTGTCCTTAGAAGAAAACAATGCCCTTGCTTTATTACTACACTGTGTCCCATCCCTTCAATGGAAATAATGATTATTTTTTTGGTATAAGTTGGTTAAGGTGTGAAAAATACTTTATGAACAGTCATTTTTATTCTTTTTTTAGAAAACTATTGCCCAGGTTTTAGTACATCTTCATAGAAATGACTATGTTGCTGCAGAAAAATGTGTCAGGGAGAGCTATAGGTAAGTCACTTGATGGATTAATTTAAAAATGATTGTGTTCCCAAGGGGGTCAGTTGTACACCATTGTCATTTTCATCTCATTGTTAAGATGTGATAATTACAGGCTTTTCCTATATATTGCTGTTTTGAGTAATACCCTGTTGTTCCTGAAAGACTGACTGTAAGCTAATATTACTTATTACTGAGCTAGGTATCTCTCTAATTTATTAACGTCATTTTCTGCCATAGAAATTAAATTGTACAAGATTTATTAAAATGTATTTCTCTGAAGTGCTTAGGAAGCCAGCTGGCAATTAAACTACCAGGATAGTGTACAGTAATTATGCTACAACAGTATCATAAACTGTATTGGAATTGTTGCATGGAATAATTAATACAGTGGTAAAATCCAGCAGAGGAGGTAGGATTGGTGCTAAAAGTAATTGGCAGTTTGTGCTAGAAGGCCCCTGTGCATAAGAACAGTACAGGTAATGAAGTACACCTTAAGGCCTTCCACTGCCTTAAGGCATTCTGATCATCACCCAGAATATTTCAGGTGATGAGGAGGGAAGACCCCCCAAAAAACTCTTCATACTAAATGTATTCGCTAAGCCAGTGTTTGTCAAACTTGGCAGCTTGAAGATGTGTGGACTTCAACTCCCAGAATTCCCCAGCTAGCATGGCTGGCTGGGGAATTCTGGGAGTTGAAGTCCACACATCTTAAAGTTGCCAAGGTTGAGAAGCGAATTCTGGGAGTTGAAGTCCACACATCTTAAAGTTGCCAAGGTTGAGAAGCGAATTCTGGGAGTTGAAGTCCACACATCTTAAAGTTGCCAAGGTTGAGAAGCCCTGCTCTAAGGAGTTCATGTGATGGAAGCTGATCTTGATTCTGTGTCCCTGCTTTCCTTATTTGTATATGAGTTTTCTCAATTTTTAAATAACCTTAAATGAATACTTAATTGCTTCAGCATACCAGGCTTCACAGAAAGTGAAGACTATGCAGCCCTGGAACAGCTCCTAGAAGGGTATGATCAACAAGACCAGGACCAAGTATCAGATGTGTGCAATTCTCCACTCTTTAAGTATATGGACAATGATGTAAGTTGTGCCTTTATTTACTGAACAAAGTACATGTGAACTGAGGTGGTTTTCCATTGAAAAGTAAAAATGATATAAATCAGTTTAATCACTGATGAGCACAATGAGTGTTATTGATAAATTACTATAATATTCAATATTTAGGATTGAATATTTGTAATTTACTGCATTCTACTGACATACTCCTGTGCTATTATGATACCCAAGCTACTACCACAGCTGCAGTTCGAATGGATGGTATAGAGCATGTAGAATCAGTATTAGAAGAGGCCATTTATGCCTTCAAGTCCAACGTCCTGCTCAGTGCAGGAATTGGAATTAAACCCTCCTGACAGATGATAATCTAGGCTCTACTTGAACACATCTAGCAAAGGGTTGCCTTCTTTTTTTTTTTTTGGTAACTGATTCCACCATAGGACTTACCTTACTGCTTTGAGGTTTTTCTAACACTCATTCAGAATATGCCTTCCTGTAATTTTATAGTAGCGTTTCTGACACTCTGTGTAATAGAAGATAGACCTCCGCCTTCTTCCATGTGACATCTTTTAAGATACTTGAAGAATACTGTCATATTTCCCCTACTCTTGTTAATGTTAAACATTCCAAATTCAATTTCTCTTCATAGGATTTAATTTGCGCTCTAGAATCTTCCCTTAGTTGACTGTCTACAATCCTCTGAGTCTTCCTCTTTTTTTTTAACTATACTCCAGTCACCTGGATCTTCAAAAGTTCTCCAGGATTTTTAGAGATAGTACATAAGCAGTGATGTTCAAAATGATTTGAACTTGAAACATTTTGAGCTCAGACCAGTTGTTTCATGTTGTTCATAGTTGAAACAAAGCATATGTTTCATGAAATTTGGTTTGAGCATGAAATATGGCTTAGCAGCTGGTTAGAGTGACCTGATGGAGATTTGGAGCAAAGCAGCCGTTTTTAAGAGGCATGTGGCATAGTGAGGGTGCCATTCTGGATCTCCACCTCAGGTCATGACATTCCTAGAAGGTAATCCAATGCTTTTTGATAACAATTTCCTGTGTGAAAGTTGGACTTTGTATGTTCCAGCAACTTGCAACCCAAGCCAGAAGAAGAGGAAATGGCCTGGGTGGAATCTGTGTGGGGAAAGTCCCCTGGAGGTCAGAGGGCAGTGGAAAGCCCAGAAACAATGTGTTGTGTCCCTAGAAAAGAAGCCAAACCAGAGAAAGAGCTTGGTCTCTCTCTCCCTCCCTGCCCCTCTTTTGAAATGCCAAGTAGAGGCAATCAGGAGGCTTAGTAGAGAGCCTCAGGAGTGGGAAGCTGAACTGATTGTAAGGTGACCTTGGTCAGCCAATGCCCACACCCAGCCATATCAGAATCCAGCCACATGAGCAACTACCCCTGGAAGAAAAAGCAAGAAAGCACAGCGGAAGAAAGGTAGAAGGCTGGAAGAAAGAAAATTAGAAGACTGGAAGAGAGGGGCAAGAAGATGTAGTGAAAGAGGCCCTGTAAGGCCCAAAGGAGTTGGTGCAGCAGTAGCAGGCAGCTTGAGAGCGCTAGGAAGTGCGATTGTTGTAGCAGAAGGATGAATGAGAACATCACCTGAGTCCCCAAGTGCTGAGCTTCTTTTTTAGAGTTTCAGAATCCATGATGGTATAACTGTTCCTTGCAGTATCATTTGTCCCCACATGGTAAAGGATGGAAGTTGTTCTGTTATACTTGTCCTTGTTCCTGACAGACAACATACTTGATGAAACAGTGGCACATTGTTGTTTGGTTCCTTGTAGTAGTGAATCACCAACTACCCACAGTTCTTCAACTCTGATCTTCAGGGATCCACTGTCTTTCTCTTGTTCCCATGCTTCATTTTCTCTCCTAAGTCTCAGAACTTCTTTCCTCTTCAAGGGCCTGAAAGCTGTTTCTGAGTTGCACTGGTGCAGGTATTGTCTGCGTTTCCTGCTTCTGATTGTCACTCTTGGTTCCTTTGTTTAATGGTTGACCTTGGAGAATTCCTTCCTCTACCAGTTCCTTTCTTTCATCTGGTAAATCTTCATCTGCTCTTATCTGTTGAATTGTGGCCACTCACTGCTTCAGTCCTCTTTTTCCAAGACCTCCTTAAACTTGTACTTGTTGCAGATATGCACCAGATTGTTTCAGGCAGGAATACCCATTTGCCACAAATATTGCACATAACAACTGGAGATTCCTGCTACTTTTTTCCTAAGTATTACCAGAAGAAGGGTTTTTTCCCCCTTGTTTTCTGCTCAATATACTTTGTTCTGATGTCTTATTTTGGATTTATAGTGTTTTTGGAGGGCTTTTTCCTGTCTGAAAAAGGATGAGTTCTGTGGGTAGTTTATTTGTTGCAGAGATGGGCCTTTCCTGAGGATATGCATAAATGTTTGATGGCTTTTCCTTCTAGATGGCTTCATTTATGTTTTTAGTAATAAATATTTTGTTATCATGTAGCAATAAGATGCATATTAGCTTGCATTCTGTTTTCCTTAAGCAGTCTATTTGTACAGGCTGGCATTTGATCACTGAGTGTTGTAGGTAAAGAACACTCTTTACTTCTATTGTTAAACTGGTATTTTCCAGCTGTTTCCGTACTACATCTTCACAGGTCCTCACCATATTAGTTAGAGCTTACTGTAACAAGGTTATCTAGTGCTTTGATAAATAAATGGGATATGCTTTTAAAAGTGCAGGTATCTTCTTGTTTTTTTACCTTTGCCAGTATGCAAAGCTTGGCCTTTCGCTGACTGTCCCAGGAGGGGGTATAAAGAAGAAATCCCCAGTTACTCCACAAAATAAAGGAGGTGGACCAGCTGTATCAGCTTCTCATGGAAATGAGGAAGATGATGAATATGCAGGTGGATTGTGCTAATTCTGATTCTGTTCTCAAATACTATATTAGCTGTTTGCCCAGTGAACAAATTCCAGGGCCAATTAAAATGACATCATTGCAATCATGAAATTGGAAAGACAATAATGTCAACTTTGGGATATTTGTATAAAAAGCATGACTATGCACCTTGAAGTATTTCTGGATTACAATCATAAACCATAATTCTTTACAGTGTGTTGATTTTAATGGAATACTTGAGTACTGCAATCCCTCCCTCCCAAAGGGAGAGAGTTTGGAAGGCAATATTTGTTTTGGATTTTTCTTTCTAAATATCTGTTATTTAGGGAATCTGTTTCATGGCTCAGTATCAACAGTCCTGCTATTCGTACTATTTCTGTTTTTGAATAATACCTTTAAATTATTTCAAAACACCTAAAACCATCATAGATATAAGAAATGTGTGGATTTAATGCACACAAATAATGTGAAATGGTTTGTACTTTATGTACTTTGTAGATAAACCAAAAAAGAAATCCAGCTAAAAAAAGGTATACAGTCTTCTGTTTGGAATCTCAGTGGGCTAGAACCATTTGGCATTTGTATGCTTTCCTGAATATTCTTTGGTATAGCAGAGCTCAGATTTTCAGCCTTTGTACAATGAGACTTTGCTGAAACATCCAGGAAAATAACTTGAATTTTCATAGAAATCTGTACATTATTTCTTGCTACCTGCCACTAAACTTGACAGTTCTTCTATTTAAGGGAATTTAAGCAAATTTCAAGTAGATTGTAGATAGCTATAATAATTGTCCACAATAGCGTATTATGTGACAAAGGAGAGATAACAGATGCTCCTCTCTGTTTGTTCAGAAAAAGCTGTAGGTTTTTAATTCCCTGCATTCAGGAATCAGAGAGAGATTTCAAGAAATAGAGTGTAAGAATGTTGAATCTAGGGCCAAATTAAAGGCTCGGTGTATTGAAAATTCTGGACATATAACATGGAATGGCTGGCAGTGAAAATAATGTTTTAATTCTAGATTTAATTATGCTTTCAAGATTGGAATTTGTGACAGTGGATGTAGTTTAATACATTCAATGTCTAGCCTTGAATATTTGACCTACTGATCTATATTGTAACAGATTAAAAAGTAATGGATTTACTGTTTCCTTTGTGAAATGTAAATACTCTGCTTTCCAGATAATTAGTGCTTTGTTTTCCAAGGCATTGTACACACTTCTTTTAATCAGATCAAAAATGTAGCAAAGAAGAAAATTTTGGAAGTAAATGCCAGCTTTTAGAGAGCAACTGAATTGAACAGTTGGTTTGCATGAATATGCTAAAATGTAATTCAGTGTTACATAAAAGTAACTGCATTCAAAGTGACTTGTATGTATATCCGGATGCTGTATAAAATGATTTTTTGCAATGTGAACCTTGTACTTAATTGTAAATGTGCCCAGCTTATCAGTAAATGCAATGGAGTATGAAAGTTGTCATAATTGCCCTGCTGCTCTAGCCTAAGACACTCTGTAGTTCATCCATACAAAATAAAAATGATAAACTCTAATGGTTGATATGTAACCTTTATTACAATAGGGATCATAATATAGAAGCAATAACTGTCAATCCTCAGAAAATGCGTGCTCAGGGGATCCTTGATTACATAGATATTTATCTTGTAACACCTTAATTGTACATAGGGGTCAAACCTCAGATAGAATAATGGAAGACAATAATTTCAGGTTGATCACTACAATAATTGTCCACCAGTTTGAAGTGGTCTCTAGCTTACTACAGTACTTTTCAGAATAGTTTGATATGTTTAATAGCTGAAAAGGACAGTATATTTGGCAGAAGAAAGTATAGGTAGTCCTCGCTTAACAACCACAATAGGGACTGGAAAATTCATCGTCAAGCAAGGCGACTGCCTAATGTTAAGCGAGGCATCACGTGACCACACCCAATTTGATAACTTTTTTTTGTGGCGGTCGTTAAGCAAATCACTGTGGTCATTAAGCAAATCATGTGATTGTTAAGGGAATCATGCGGTTCCCTATTGATTTTGCTTGCCAGAAGCTAGCTGGGAAGGTTGCAAATAGTTATCATGTGACCGCGGGATGCTGCAACCATCATAAATGCAAGCTGGTTGCCAAACGCCTGGATCAGAGCACGTGACCATTGGGGCGCTGCGACGGTCATAAGTGCAAGGAGCAGTCGTAAGTAGCTTTTTAGCGTCATCTTAACTGAATGGTCACTAAAAGAATGGTTGTTAAGCAAGGACTACCTGTAATGTGTCTCATTTGGCATTTGTACAGCAATCCAGCAATTCTCCTTAGCTTTACCTTTTCAGTAAAATATATATTATTGCCACAAGATGGTGCTGTGACTTAGATCAAAATGGTGCTACTGTTCAGCACCATTTTAGCGACTAAAAAGTAGTCTTGATATTTTTGGAATTTTCATACATTTAGGACGTATGTGTGTTTATGCCACACTTAGCAAATAGACTGCAGTAATGAGACCAGCAACACACACCCAGCTGAGTGGCCTGCTGGCATCAACAGCAAAATCTACAACCTTGATATGAAAAAAGCAACTAAATTATGGTAAATGAGAAGTAGAAAATGAGACAAGACTCCCTTTTGTACATTTAAGAGCAATCTGATTACTGTTAAGTGAAGTTAGCAAGAGCCATAAAAATACAATTACAGTGTTCAACCATATTGATTGTTGATATGACTGGTACAAATGTCTCCATGTTCTGGGAATTTCACTTAACTGTATCACCTGATACGTAAACATTTTACAAATAATATTTTATTTATTTGATCAATATATTAACCGCTTCAGTCAACAAAGCAACTGTAAATGAACTATAAGGAACAGAAAGTAAAAGGAGAAATGCAGTAATCTAAAGCAGCAGGTATGCCAGGCTGGAGACATTGCTGTAAAACGAGTCACCAAGAAGTGAGATTACAAATCAGATTGGCGCAGGGCCTGCTGGAAAAGCCTCGACCACTCTTCCAGAGGCCAGTATGGACTGCAAACAATGAATCAATGCATAAACAATACCTGCACAAAGTAACATGAACCCAAGACTACCACTAAGTGTAAAAACAAATGCTAACACAGTAAACGTTACAAAAGACCTTAGGCATTCCTGGCCATACGGATTCCTAACACCAATCTGAATCTCATCTTTGTTCCAATAAAAAAAATACATGATGTGCACCAGAGCACTTAATCAAAACCATAAAATAAATCCCAAATTACTACAGAGCATGAAGTGGTTCCCTAATGGTACATTTCACCTGAAACTTTACCATAGACCTCAAGAAATCCAAACCCCAATTCTAACTCAGTCACACCAATAAAAGTATATACCTGAGTACTTACCTAAACCATTATCTAAACCCCAGACTACTGCAAATCATAAAACTTCTCTCTAATGCTAGCTCTCACACTAAATTTTACAATGGAACTTGAGGAATCTTAAAATTAACCATATCTTCATGTTCTCAAAAATACAGTTACACTAACCATTAGTCCACCACTCAGTCAAACCGTAGCATAAACCTCAGACCAATACTAAATAGAAATATTTACATTAATGCTTAGCACAGTACTCAACCCTAACTGTAACATAACTCACAAAGTAATATTGATAATAAAAACCTGCCCTAATAGTAATCCTGACAACAATTTTACCACAGAAATGAAGGAATTGTAATAGTAACCATAAATGTATCTTCCCTACAGTTCAAATACATATATTAACCTTCAGCTGAGCATTCAGTCCTAACTGTAACTTAAGACTTACCCTAACCATAACAATGTCAACATAGTATTTATTCTCTTACAAAATTTTACTATAAATTGTAGGACATCCTAACGTTAGCCCTTGTCTCATTTCACCCCAGTACAAATGTTTACCCTAAGCATTATCCCACACTCAACTGTAACGTAGCCATCAAGAGTGCTACTACTGTAATCATAAAACTCTTCTAAATGTTAAGTCTATCACTAATTCATTGCATACACCTTAACAAATCCTAACCCTAACCTCAGCTTACCCCCACTGAAGTTACTTTTACCATAAACCCAAGAGCAAGTTGAAACTGCAACATGACTTCCAGAATACTACTACACAGGAAAAACTCCCCTTAATGCTGACTTTCACACAAAACTTTACCATAAGTCTTAGGGAATCCTAATATCAACTTGACCCCTATAGAAAAGTTTGGGTTAGGATTCGTTAAGGACTATAGTACACTTTAGTTTTAGAACATTAGGGAGAGGTTTTAATGCATAGTAGCACTCTGAAGGTTACCTACGGTTTCACCACAGGAAACACTGGGGTGAGGGTTAGGCTTCGTATTTGGTAATGGTGGGGTTAGTGTTGGTCTTACGATTTCATAAGGTTTGTGGTAAAATAGAGTGATAGAGTGAGCATTATGGAGAGGCTTTATGCTTAGTGCTACTCTGAGGGTTGTCTTACAGCTAGAGTAATAGGGTAAGTGTTAGAGTAACATTTTGATTGTGGTGAAGATGAATTTAGGGTTAGTATTTCTTAAGGTCTATGGTTAAAATTCAGAGTTAGAGTGAGTGTTAGGCAGAGGTTTTATGCTTAGTATGCTAAATATTTGTTTTGAGATGATGGTGAGGTTAGTTATGGATAGGATTCTATAAATTCTATGATAAGATTTAGTGTTGGAATAAACGCTAAAGAGAGATTATATGGTTAGCATTATGCTGAGGTGAAAATGCGGTTATGGTTAAGGTTATAATTTCCCCTCTCCATAGCACTCCATCAAAATTGTAACATAAACAATGCCAATTTGACTCCTGCCACCGTCACATCCTAACTCATACTAAATTTTTACTATTTTACCCCTATTCCCAATATTAATTTCACCATAACTACACTGCACATATATTACTATAAAATATAGCCAAATACACAATCAAAATAGTAAGATTATCATAAAACTCCCACGAATCATAAGATTCACTATAATAGAAACTTACACACTAAATTTTACTATCAACTTTATAGAATCTTAACCCTATCATGAACTTCATCTTCACTTTAACAAAAATATTTACCCTGAGCTTCAGCCCAACACACAGTCTAAACAAACTTAAATCTCAGACTGCTACTATGAAAACACAGTGTAATCCTAACTCTCATATTACAAATACAAAATACAAAATACTTTAATGACCAAGTATAAAATATATACAAGGAATTTGT